TCAAATTCGACTACAATCAAGCCCACTGGCGCCTATCGGCAAGCCACGCTTCCGTAATAAATGAATAAAATAAAAAACATTGTGCTCAGCGGTGCGCGAACCCAGCTAGCTTAGGTAGGTATTGTACGTATATTAGCGGTATACCAGTTGGTACAATACCTAAGGTATATCGGGCAGTAGATAAGTAAGGTACCTATGTATACCAGTACGTCGCAGGCTCATCGTACGCTCCTCAAGCATCCGAATCGAGGGAATAAAACTCGGCATATTTTTCGGATGACCTCGCCGCGCTTACTGAAGTCGCTCATGTCGTTACATAATTCTATTCCCAACACCTTCTCCTGCAGCAACCCAGCGAATACGAGGGGGCGGGTATCCCAATTTTGCAAAGACGCGTTATTGACATATTCCGTAGTTTTTTAGTTTTTTTTAGTTGTTTAGTTGTTGTTTTCTTTCGAGTCTATGCGATCTACATACGTTGATTCCACGCGTTTTACCCTGCTATTACTTTACTATGTAAGGTGTACCTAACATGTACTGTACCAACTAGGGCTAGTACCAACAGCGATAAAGCTTCCAGATCGGCATTTTACCGCCATATTTACCCGAGCTTGAAGCTCAAGTAAAACAACCTCTAGCCCCTAGAAGAGCCTCTCAAATTAATAATCCACTATCCTAAACTATCCTAAACGCTAAGACCAACGAAATGAAGTCAGGGGATCTTCAATTGTTTATCCGTGTAATCCGTAATTCTTACATACTCTAACCTACGTTTCTTCTAACAACCGTCTCATTATGAGCATACGTACAATACATACTAGTACTAGCTCCCCACATTGACACATTGATTAGACCGAAACTTTTCATATGCTACTCCATCTTTTTTGCTCTGTCTCCACGTAGGTTGGACGATGGTGGTATGAGCATGATCACGAGCATGAGCATGAGAAATGGGCATGGAAGGATTGTTCCCTGCGACATGTGCGTTCCATTTTCTGAAGCGACTAGAATTATTGGGATTATCAGATTGACCGATACGGAAAGCAGATCTCTGGTAACCCTGCCGCCAAGCGCTGCACTGCCGATCACTCTTAACCACGAACCTTTCAGCTGCTGTGACTTAGTCACTAGCGGACTTGACTCCCTTAGACCAAGTTGCATTTTCTAATGCAAATGATTGCATATAACACTCTGGATACTTAGTATGAGATGGTACATACATACGATGCGTGTTAGCAAACCCACAAGTGTGGATTGCGAAATTTCAAGAAAAGCAGGAAGTAAAAGAACGCCTTACATGGGGTGAAGGTCGAGTATCAAAAGCATATAGGACGGCTTAGAACGCCATTGACGTCAACGACTGCCAATTATTTTCATCCAATAGAATTTCTACTGACTACCTATATCCATGTTATGTCCTCCTGTTCTAGTTAAGCCATTGCCGTTTCTAACGGTTGCGCAAAAGACGGCTTATTATACATTAGGTATTATACATAGGAGAAATCGATGTATTAGTGACGAAAGGTCAGTTAAACTTCTCTTTAGACTACCGTTACCTACCTTCAACCTTTGACCACTAATTTTAGAAGCATATTCTTTAGCAATAAGTTCTTCATTATCACAAATGGAAAAAACATCATCCAAAACACCAATGCCAATTATTCTTCTTCGTCGTTATCTTTCCTCTCCCTAGTTTCGTTGCATGGTTGGACCTCTTTTTTTTTCCTTTTTCTTTTTTTTTTGTCCCCTTTTCCTTTTTTCCGCTGTCTCTCTTCATTTGCCCCTACCCACGCCACGATCTCGTCTAGGTCATAGTGGATCGTCCACCCATCACAATGACATCGAGTTCAGCTGAGATTGACAGGAACTAGAACCGCATTCCAATTTAAAATTTCCAGAGTGGCTACTACAACCTTGAATCTTTTAACTCTAATAAGTCAATAGAAGATGCAAGATATATTATTATTGCAGCTCGTTCTCCAGTCATCGATTCTGCTTTGAGTCTATCCAGCTCTCCGTGCTACAAATCGTCAATCAATTTTTAGATCCATGTCTCAGCCATGGGCTGCAAGAAAATTTCCAGCAGTCTGGATGCAATCTGGAGGCAATCTGGATGCAGTCCGGATATCTGGATACTACGGTCGCCCCCCGAACGGGCATTCCGAAGGTCGGATTTCCGGTAAAGGACAAAGACAAAGAAAGAAGCAAAGAAGCTTGCTGATTGCGGATGATGAGTTACACTCGATATCTTTTTTCTTGCCAATATACCCAAGATACGGTTTTGTCTTCTCCCTGACCTCGCAAGAATAAGTGACGTGGTGATATATGAGCGCTTCTCAGTCATATGACTATTTACTATATGTCGGTCGCGCGTCTAACCGCATGCCAAAGGCTGTCAGCTCATATATGCTGTGTTACCGTAGCGCCTTTCTGGCCCGTAAACATCGGTCAATGTTTCAAAAAGTTTGTAGAGCATTGCCGTCTAGATCCTATAAGACGACGCAGCCAATAACAGCCAAATCCAAGGAAGTAGTAGTAGCTGTATGAATTGTGGCTTGCATTACATTGCTCCCTGGCTTGCTTCTATATGACTTCTATCACTTATCAGCTAGACGCCACGGACTCGTATCATTTTTTTTTTTTTTTTTCATTTTTTTTTTCATTATAATTATTATTGCCACTTTGAACAGCCCCTTTTCCCAAGTACATACTTCTCTGCATGTCAGATGCTCAACCGTGATAGTCGTAGCAAACAATGATCCCCCCTCCCCTTTACATATTACGGGTTACATACTCAATCCGGCAATGGGCCGCTAGATTCCTCAACACCCTCTTCTTTAAACGCGAGATGAACAAATAACGTGGCAGCACAGCAACCAGTAAATAGGTGGCTTTGACACATAACATCTCACATTAAGCGATACATTTGTCAAGCGGCAGGACGGCAGGGAGCGAGTGAGCCAGCCGCCTCTCAGGCGGTAAGATATCACACACAAGGTATGCCCGGGCCCAGAAGCCCAGCAGCCCCAGGTATCCAGCTCCTCGTAAACACACGGTGAGACGGCTGGGCATTTGGGTAACTTTCAGAGGATCACGATCATCATCAATGTAAGACGTGGCAGAGGATCGTAGTGAAGTTGCCTCCTCTTTTGCTTTTCTAGCCCAGGGACGCCTTCTCGTGATGTGCTCGATACCTATCTCTCACCTAGCAAACAAACATCAAGTATGTTAGGTTAGGCAGGTAGATATGTATGCATGTCTCGACGCGCTTAAACTTCAAACCAACATCGCATAACTAAGTCTTATCCGGCTTTGCTTCTTACTATGCCACGTGCAAAGGGGCGCTAAGTTAATATATTCTATTAATTAGATGTGGAGTTTATCCTAACCCTGATTTACCTAGCTGCCGTTGTACTTGAGTCCCGGAGCCGCGCAGAATACCTAGTATATCGGCCGATACATACCGTAAGCCGCCCTAATTCTCGAACCACACGCTCGGGACTGGCAAGCTATGCTATCGACGGAAGGGCTAGGCGCGACTTTTCTTTTCTTTTTTTTTTCACGTTCGACGACATTGGCGGTCAGGATAGCAGTTTCCACCGCTCTTCTGTGCTGACTACATACATCGTCTCCTAGGAGGCGAGTTCGTATACAGAATGGCAAGGCTCAGGCAAATCTACCGGTTTCAACATTGACGGGAGGGCGTTCGAAGTGAGGGTGAGATGCGGACTGCCACTCCCGGTACAAACCTCCGCATTTGGATGTCTAAACCGGTTAGGATTCACATTTGACACCTCATACGGCGGAAATCATATAGGGGTATATGTCAGCTTAGAGCTCAGCACTGCGGACAAATGACGGATTGGGTGTTTTAACTCTCACCTCTGCATCCTCTTTTCACCGGTTTCCCAAAATCTAGATAGAACCCAAATACAACGAAACGACTATAGTGAAAGCGTAGCTTAGCAACTGGAATATTTGTTTGCCCCTTATAGACATTAGTAAGCCATCATCAATAAGTGTAGAAGAAATGTGCCTGCTATAGACGAATAGGTAAGCCAAGTTACATGTCGCCTCGGGCAACAGTCCGCGCGATATATTCTGACCACCAGATAATGCAGGCTTACTTTTCCGGCCCCCATGAGTAGCTGTCGGATGATGGTTCCGATGCGGATATTATTCTCAACCATGCGTGGGGGAAATCTTACAACCTGACTTGACCCCGAGACGGGGGGAGGACAACGGGATGAAACGATGCCCTCTCTCGTCCATACGTTGCATGTGTCAGCAAGCGACATGTCTCCTGGACGATAGACCTCTAGGTATCTAAGTAGTAGGTAACGCTCAAGTAAAGATAGCTCGTATGAGTTCCAGTAAGCTGGTAAATCCAAGCGTTTAACTCATGTCGAACAAGCAGTCATATGCCTAAGGGTCTTCCCATCTGCCGAAATAAAAATAAAACCTCGAAGACGAAGACGACTAGAGCTGACGAGGCACCATGACTCTATAGCAGTATTTGTGCCCAAAAGCCCAAACCACCCGCACATACCTACCGTGGGACAGGCTTGACATATAGCCCTGACATGTAGCTAGCTCTCAAGGAAACGCGGCAGATACTGGCAAGACTATCCAGACGCTCCGGTAATGAATGTATACTTCATATTAAAAGCTACTGTACGGGAAATACAAGAGTAGAGCCTCATAGACTCGTTAATATAAGCAGGCTAGTAATATAATACCTATATGAAATGTAATACCTCTATACACCGAATAGTTCAACAAAGCAAGTCATAGCCACTACTATCCTATGAAGAATCACAGATACCAAGACAGATACTAAGTAGGGCAAAGCTTCGATACGCGATTATGTATTTACGCTAACCAAGTAACGGTAGATCCCAAGTCGATATACACGTAACATATCCAATTCCGGGCACTTACTTACTCAGCCCCCTCCCTATCCCCTATCCCCTTATCCCCCTCCCCCCCTTTTACTCCATCTAACAAGTAAACACCTTAGGCCCCGCGGGCTGGTACTCCTTACCGCCGTTATTATAAATGTTAATCATGATGCCCGGGTCAGTCGCCTTGTACGCGCCGGGGAACGAAACCAAGCCCGCAGGCTGCGCGGAGCCCGAGCCGCCGGCGACGTGGACCTGCGCGCACGAGATGTAGAACTGGGCGCCGCCCGCTGCGGACGCCGAGTGCAGGGCCACGTGCTCGATGCGGAACAGGTAGTCGCCCTCCGCTAGGCACTGCGGGATGGTGAAGCTGAGTTCGGATTTGCCTGGTTGGGGGGTTTAGAAAGGCGGATGGGATGAGAGGGGGGGGGGGAGCAGGAGGGGTAATAAAGGGGAACGGGAAGAGGAAGGGGAACGGGAAGAGGAAGGGGAGGAGAGGCGTACCGTTTGACGGCCAGGTGTATTGTCCGCCCGACGTCGTGGGCATGTCCTGGTACACCTTGAACCACACGTTTCCGCTGCCGTCGAAGTCGGCGGCGGTCTTGCCGGACGGGACCTTGGCCATGTATGCCGAAAGGGCTAGAAAGCAATACCGAATTAGTAATTTATCTCATCCCATCTCGTCTCGTCTCATCCCATCCCGTCCCAACTCGCCCATCTAGAAAGCAGTCTTAAACTTTAAGGCTTCACCCATCCGCGTAATATAGGTATATATATATATATATATATATATATAATAACGTACTACAAATCGACACATTAGCATTCAATCCCAACCCAAGCAAGCCAGAGCCGCGAATCCGCGTCTCGGCAGCCATCGATCATTTACGTACCCTCCAGGGTGGTAGATATTCGGGTTAGCAACCCAAGTGATCTGGCCACCGGCCTTGACCTGCGTGGTATCCGGGGCGCCGCCGGGAGCCCGCTGGTAGCAACGGATAGCATCCGAGTTGACGTCGGTCACGGGTCCGTTCGACTGAAAGTTTGCCGTCTGCCTAACTGAGGACCAGTCCGAGGTGCCCGCGAGCTTCGGGAACGTGTCTGAAAAGGCTAGTCAGACTCGGTCTTCGCATGTAAAGAATAGGTACTCTCTTCATTCTCTAACTACGGTAGAAAGACGAAAGAACTAGGCATTAGATCAGGTAACGAGCGATTTTACGTACAATGCGGAGCGGCCTGGGCTCCAGCCACGAGGAGCGCGAATGCTGCGGTGGCTTTCATCGTCGCTAATAGTCTCGTAATGTTTATATATGGTTATATATATATCTAATTAGACGAAAAATGTCGCTGAGAAGACGGGTACAGCACTAATGTCCTACGCAGACAAACGACATACACGCCGTAGCGACGCGGAAGTAAAGAGGTCATCATCTTATAGTACTATTGCCAAGCGGGAACTTGCAGAGGCCTAAACCGAGACGGAACCTGTCCTTGCGTTTGCCGGGTAAGGTGTAGTCACCCTTGTGTTTGCGGATAAAAAGAGGTCATTTCCGGTTATATTGGGCCGCCACTTATAAGCACGCAAAACGACCTCATCTGGTTCTCGCTACGAAAAACTAGCCGGCAATGCTACTGAACACACTGCTCAAATGACGCACTTGTCTAAGAATAGGATGTGGGTGTCGTGAACACGAGCCAAGGCCATCCCGTTCCCGAGAAACCCGGCACGGTCAACGTTGATTCTTGGCAACATTTACACTACTGCCTCAGTATAGAACACTCTTGTTAAGGCATTAGACCTTGAATTCATGCTACGTATTCATTTGCCTTGTCTCCTAGTGAGAACAAGACAGATGATAGTCTACATATACATATGACCTTGTAGTAGGTCTTGAAGCAAGTCCAATCTGCACAAGTCAGCAAGCGACATACCTCTCTCTCTCTCTCGACTTGGAAGTCAAAAGTTGGCAAGTTGTACGGTCTCGACTCCAGAGTTGCTTCTCGTAGAACCAAAGCAGAATTCTGCATTTTCCGCATTTCCTCATGTTTCTGTAACGCCTGCACCTTGTTGGGTGACCAAATTAGGTAGTGCGAGTTGTGCAAGCTTGGATGGACATGCACAGATACCTTCGCAAAGTGTCGACGTAAAACGACTTCTAGACATCCGTACCTCTAAACACAACGCCATTTGTGCATATGTGCAATAAAAGAAAAGGAAATGCAACCCGGCAGATACCTTACGACGTTCTAAAGATCCCTAAAGGAGGTTATCACCATCGTCGGTTGTTGATGGGCAAAGAGTTAGCACCGCCTCCACCAGCACCGCCTATTGAGAATAAATGTTAGTATTATGTTTCCGGAAACCTAGAAATCGATATAACATACCTCGGTGACCACCACCACGACCGTAGCCTCGTCCGCCGTAGCGGCCCCCGCCACCGCCGCCGCTATAGCGGGCCATCTCATGAAGTCTAGGATCAATTTGCTGCTTAGCTTCTTGAAGAACTGAGACTAGATCACGAGCCTGCTTAGAATCTGGGAAGTTGTTAGCCATAGCCATAGTCATAGAAATATTCATCATGAGACTTACTGTCAGCAGTAAAGAGAGTAATGGCAGTGCCTTTGGCGCCAGCACGGCCAGTTCGGCCAATACGGTGGATGTAATCCTCCGAGTTGTTCGGGTAGTCATAGTTGATCACATGAGTGATGTTACGAACATCTTAATTACAATCTAATGTTAGCCAAACCGAAAGCCAATGTTTCTGTAACAAGTCCCAGCGACGGACGTGCTGTGCCTAAGTATATTTTCCGTGCTTTCTCCTTGGAGAATTGGGGCTGTCTGTTGCATCAACATGCCAATTTGGAGGAATTCCAATAATCTGGTCTGGGTCCTAGGATCTGGGAGTCTGGAGATAGCTTGACAGAATCAAGAAATGCCAACTCCGCAGTCGTACCACGGGGACAATAAGGTACGACAGCGGAACATGGGTATAGTGCATCCGCTATACCACGGGACCCCAATATTCCTGAATAGATGAGAACCACAAGACACGCTGGGAGATCAGGCAAATGCGCGCAATCGAGAGAGCCCCTAGACATAGAGTAAAGCACAGCGGATATAACTCTGCTGGAAGTTGATACGGGGGGAGGGGGGAGGGGAGGGGGAATTTGCAATCATACCAATACCACGAGAAGCAACGTCGGTGGCTACCATAATAGGACTCTTTCCGGTCTTGAACTGGTCAAGGACCCAGTCACGTTCGTTCTGCTGTTTGTCGCCGTGAATAGCTACCAATGGATTAGTTCCAAGCCGCATCAAAAGTCGGAATTTGCATAAACTTACAAAGGGCCGGCCAGCCATCTTGGCGGAGGAATCGCGTAATCTCGTCAGCGACTCGCTTCGTACCTACGAATAGAAGACACTTGTTCTCCTTGTTGTCCATGATCTTCTCAAGGTGCTTGATCATACGATCACGCTTCTCACCCTCGGACACAACCTCGACGATTTGCGTAATACGATGGTTAGCAGACAAGTCCAGGGAACCAATGTTGACCTGAATGAAGTCGGTTTGGAATTCGGCAGCTAAAGCACGAACTTCCTTGGGCCATGTAGCAGACCACATGAGAGTCTGACGGTCAGGTCGAATTTGACTGATAATTTTGCGAATCTGGGGCTCGAAACCCATGTCCAGCATACGATCAGCCTCGTCGAGGACTAGGTAAGTCACTCGGCGTAAGTTGGTCTTACCACCCTCGAGCATGTCAATCAGACGACCGGGAGTGGCAATGCAAACCTCGACGCCCTTGGTAAGGTCGCGGATCTGAGGACCACGAGGAACACCTCCATAGACACAGGTGTTGCGAATGCGCGAAGACTTGCCGAATTTAGTAATCTCCTGCTGGATCTGTACTGCTAGTTCTCGAGTAGGTGCAAGAACAAGCACGATAGGGCCATCGCCGGGAGCCAAGAGAGGCTGGGCATTGATGTGGACAATTGCCGGAAGACAGTACGTAAGCGTCTTACCGGAACCCGTCTCGGCAATACCGACGACGTCGCGACCAGAAAGAGCCATGGGCCATCCTTGAGATTGGATGGCAGTAGGAGCGGGGAAGCCTTGTGCCTTGACTTCGTCCATCACATATCGAGGGAATCCAGCCTCATCGAATGTCTCGACAGGTTTGGGAACATCGTGGCCAGTGACAGCTATTTGATGATCTTTTCGGAATCGCTCAACTTCACTGGCCGGTCGTCGTGCGACAGCTTCGTCCTCCTTGTAGAAGGACTTCTCGAATTTGGGAAGAGCGCTGAGATCTATCGAGAATAAGGTTAGCCATGATATAGGTAAATAACTTGGGAATCTGAAAAGAACATACCCCAGGTTTGCTTGTGTAGACCAGCTCCGAGGTTAGACATTCTGTCACCGCCTCCGCTTCCACCATAGCCGCCGCCGCCGCCACCACCTCCGTAACCACCACTGTTACCGCCATAGCCATTGCTAGAAGAGTAGATATGTTAGTATCGATAATCAAGGGAGGTTAAAATGCGGTGAGACAGTAGCGAAGTGTTCAAATAAAATTCTTACCCATGACCGTGGTCCTGACGACCACCACCGTGGCCGCCTCCATACTTGTCGTGGCCATTAGAGTAGCCTCCTCCGCCTCCTCCATTACGGGAGTTGTAGCCGCCGTAAGACATGATGTATTTTTGAGTCTGCGATGGTCAAGTTAGATGTATGCGAAGTGAGAATGTTTAGCGCAAACGAGTAGGACAATATCGCGTTTAATTCGTCTGAGCTGATTTAATTGTAACAAACGCGTTCTCAAGTGCAGCGTGCAATCTGCAAGAAAAGGAGCGGAAAATGGGGGAAATTATGAGATGAAAAGTTATGAACTCGGAGTAATAGAAGGAAAGGTGTAGGGTGTGGTGATGAGTTTTTGAAGTCAAGAAGAACCCTGAGTCAAGTAGTTGATTAATTTTTTTTTCCCTAGTCTCGAGGGAAACAGCAGTCTAGGCCTAACAGGTATGCAGGGATGTGGTTCGTGCACGACTTTCCCTTTTTTTTTCGCCTCGCGTTCTTGCTATCACTACAGCACTAGTGTTTTTAAGGTAGAAGGACCGGGGTACGTACATATTGTACACGTCGGAAGTGGAGGTACGTTAAGAAAGTACATAGGAGAAACTGTGCAACGTGCAGCTGTTGACAGGTGCGATCAGCTTTTGCCACTAGCACGTGAATTCTTCAATTTGTCTTCGCCTCTAGTTACATAACCTGTTCTTGTTTTGTTTTTTTCTTTTCTGTAAATCACCTATATCATCTAGTTATCAGAGGTATCAAATCAAGTGCTACATGATAATGCGTCAGATCAACCATACGTACCTAATTAGGTATACCCAGCTAAATACCTTAAGGCTCAATTGATGAAGTTATGTATGCCAAGTAAGTAAGCCGGCGTGGGAGGATCACCTTTCATACATTCATAGGTAGGTGAAGATAGACCAAAATGCAAACGACTACTAAGATGATTTAAGGGGCTTTTGCCTCAGTACCAGTCCATATATCCTCTCTACACTAGATGTCCGTTCCATTCTATACCGATTCGATCCCGCGAGATTCGAGACGATTTAGGCTGATGGGAACATGTCCCAAAAGCCAATTTCCATCTATTCCAAAGTTAGTGTTACGGGATACCTTCCATCTCAAGTGTCTTACCCTCGTAGCATGGATGAAGATCTTGGCCAGCTCTTCTATCCTTGATGGAGACTGTAACATTGCGTTCTTTTCCATGAGAGCTGTGGCCGACATTTAAATCAGTATTTTCCGACCAGTTCCAACTAGTAGTTAAGGGGCCTTCTCACCACACCCGGTCTCTACTGCCTTCACGTAGTCCTCTTCGACATAATTCACAATCCATTTCCAGTACGTATTGCCCTCCGTCTTTGTTCTTGGGTCGCCGTGAAGCTGTTTTGCAATGGCTCCATAACCAAGGAGGCAAGGGGCGAGTGCAACTTGAAGGCCAATCCAATCTTCCGACTGCCCGATATCAAGGACGTATCTCGTGTATGCGGTACATGCTGAGGAATCGGTTAGCAATGGAGTGTCGATATGAGACAGTGAGCAAGGTTGGGGCTTTGTACCTTGGTGCTCCTCTGTCGCCTCTATCTCCTCTTTGGATATGCCGAATTCTTTACAATAGTCAAGATGAAGTTTCATCTCAGTGTGGATATGCGACACGATTTTAGCGCCCTAATTATAATATTAGGATCAACTTGCTTGCTGTTTGATAACCACCTACCGCTGCGATATCCTCCATATTCTTGGACTTGTATGAAGCCAAAGCATTTGCCCTCGCGAAGTGAACTAGGTATAGGTAGTCTTGTATCAGATAGCCTTTGAACGACTCGAGAGGCAATTGTCCATCCCCGAGTCCGAGGACGAATGGATGGTTAATAAATTGATGCCACACTGGCGATACGTCAGGTCGCTCCAAAAGGTATTCTAGGAAGTGTCCCCTTGTTGCCATTAGTAGGACGCTAATAGCAGGATAGGTTCAAGTTAAGCCAACGTGAAGTCAGGGGCAAACTAACCGAGAGAATGGAAGAGTCAGAACTGAATGGAAATGATTAAGTGGTCCATTCCCCTTTCCGTATCCGGGTGCGGTCTTGATTCCTGCTTCGACATACCGACAGGCGGCCTTAACAGCTTGTACAGGTTTCAGTCCTTTGGAAAGGTTGGAGGCGATAGCAGAGGCGAGTGAGCATCCCGTTCCATGTGTGTTGGTCGAGTCTATATATGGACTCTCGATTTTCGTGGCTTGTCCCTCTCCAAATAAAAGGTCTACGACTAACTCCCTTTCCTCAGGGGTCGTAGCTATCGAACCGTCTTTCTTAAAAGGCACATGGCCGCCTTTGACAAGAACCCAGTTTGGTCCTAATTCCTGTACTTTTCGGGCGATTACCTCCAAGTCGTCTATATGTTGGATATCGACGGTTCCCTTTCCGCTCTCGGAGAGTAGGAGTTGTGCCTCGGGAATATTTGGAGTAAGGATGAACGTCTGTGGGAGCAGCAGAGTTCTTAACTCATTCACGGCTTCTAGGGGTAGGAGCTTGGCACCAGTGGTGGCGACCATAACCTATTTAGATTTAAGCCATCATGATCTTTCTCGGAAAGACTATCAAGCGAATGAACTTACAGGATCCAATACCAACGTCTCAACATCGTAATCCTTCAACGCCCGTGCTACCATATCAATAGTACGTGCAGATGCTAGCATCCCTTAACGGAATCTAGATAAGCTTCAGTGCAACGAACTGGATGATCTGATTGCTCACCAGTCTTTACGACCCCGGGTTTAATATCCGTAAAGACGGCATCGATCTGCTTCCTTACGAACTCAGGGGGTATGTGGTGTATGTCATTGACACCAGTAGTATTCTGAGCCGTCAACGCTGTCGTAGCAGTCATAGCATAGCAGCCATGAGCTGCGATGACTTTCTGGTCTGCCTCGAGGCCACTGTTGATTCACATCGACGATCCTGTCAGTTGATTGCGTGAGGGTCGAATGATAGGCTCATGAACATTGAACTTACGCACCACCGCTCGAATCGCTCCCCGCGATAACAAGAATTCGTCTATTGGCCATGATGCAACTATGTAGAGTCCTACGGATTAACTGACCTTCCTAATTAAGTCAGGGACTTGAACGTACAGATTGACGATACTTGCACGAACTTGGCACGAACTTTCCAAATTCCCATGTTGCGCGAGATTTCTTTTTAAGTTCTTAATGGGCTGGACTTAAAGTAGCTCGATGAGTGGATGAGTGGGGCTAATACCATCATCCGTCCACTCACCGTCGTCGAAGCCATTGTCTGTACGATACGTATAAGTGATGGTATAAGTGATACTGCGGTATGTATAAGTCGCTGGGTAATGCTCGTCCAAGAAAAGGGGATTTTCCCCTATTCTCATTATTAAACTCGAATATCACGCAGCTTTCGAAAAAAGAAAAAAAAAGAGAGAGATTGTATACGGCATGGGACTTCTATGTTTAAATTATTATGTGTTAGGTTAGGTTAGGTACTTAGCCGGTAAGCATCTGCCCAGCCAAACTGAGTGTAGGTAGGTATAATATAGGTTCTCGCCCTCATCACTCGTCTAGTCCCATCCAATATCCAAGGGAATCTTTAGTCGGTGTGCTTAACAACTAAATCATGTACCTAGTTGAAGTTCCTGGCTGTCAACGTCACCTCCCAGCCCCTAACTCCGTAAGCCGATCTAGTAGTACAAGTATGAAAAATTGCCCAGTGTGAAAATGCATGATCTGATCCCAGCGCGGCCCTCCCACCCCCTATTCTGGACGTAATTCTCAATGTAAGCCTCCCGCGCCTGGGAAGTTCAGTTGCTCGTTGAACCCGTCGGTCCCTTCGCACCGTCCAAACAGCCAGCGCAACCTCTCCATGTTATTTCGGAGTTCGTCTCTTTCCCCTTCCAAGGCAGCGCATTCGCGCTCCAAGGCTTGAATGTGACGCCGAGCCATATCTAATACTTCTGCTTTGCTGACTCTCCGGTCAGTCAAGTCCAACGATTCCCCCTCGTCATCACCCTCGCCAGCTTGCATGGTTTCCGGTAGAGCGTCTAGTAGGCTTTCAAAGTGAGCATTAAGTCTGTTCCGGTACTGCTTTTCCACTTGGTTATGCGTGTCACGGCTTTTTTGCTCCTCGACTGTAGCTGGGGGGTTGTGGTGCGTGTTTTTGCTTGTGCGAGAAGCACTACGGAGTCTGGATCTGCCAGAGTTTGACGCTGACGACGTGCTTCCAGGCGAGAGTACCTGTGGCTGCTTAGACTTTCTTGGCCGTGACGAATGCTTGTTCTTTTTGTGGCTGGAACCAGTCGATGCCCCTGCCGATGGAACGCGCGGGCTCATTGTTGCTGCTCCGTACCCTGGCGGATAAGGATGGCGATAAGTATCGGTGGTATCGACGGACCTGGACTCTGATGGTACGGCTTGGTAAAATGGGAGGCTAAAGGGGTCTCCTGTGGGTGTAGTAAACGATGCTCCATTCACATCCGTTGGATTGTGGCCACCCACAACGTAATTCGGGATACTCGGGACCGTGACAGGAGTAAGTGACTGATTTTGGTAGCCTAGCATGCTTTCCGAGGCCCTGTTAGGTGTAATGGTGGGATAAGAGGCGTACGAGACGTTCTGACCCTGTGACGATGCATGTTCGCCTCTGTAGTAAGTGTCGTCAGAGACGTACGCCGACGACAGGTGCTCTGAAGAAACCATCTGGATGTTGCTGTTAGTAAGTGATAATAATCGAAGTTTAATTTGCTGAAATGGGTTGTCTGTCGGTTGTCAACACGATGGCTTTGGGTCTGGACAGGCCGGTTTTATTTACTAGCCGTAGTCCTACGGGGCGGTTCGATGAGACCTAGTCGGAGGCATCCGTGATGCTTATGGAGCCGGCAAGGCTGGTAGGAGTGCCAATAAAAATAGACAGCGGGTAAGGGTGGCACCCCTCGGGGGCTTTCGGGCACACGGTAGGGGGAATCTAGATTGGCCAACCAACTTACTTGAACGGGCAGAGCAACTGAGATATCATAGCGTCCAGCATTGTACGGCATGTTCCATATAGAAACTTGGATCAACTTTATGTTACACTTGACTAGCAGGTCTGAGGAATAAATAGTAGGGAGTAGAACTGGAGGCAGTGTAGTAGCCGGCATGCAACTATTCTACAAGAATAGTCAGGTAGGGTTGTTTAGATCCTTAGACGAATGTTCCCCAAATACGAGATCTCTCACTCTTAAATATACCATGATAAGCACACTGCTATTGTTATCATACTAGCGAAAACCTTTGTGTTAGGTACTGAGTGGTGACCAGCCAATATGACAGGACGCTTGCATAGTAGATGATGAGCTCTAGCTAATCTCCAAAAGACGCAAATAGGGTAGCATGGATGTCCGGGCTTCGGCTGTAGAGGTCACTTGGGTAGCATTGACTTGGGAGTATATGCCATGTGCCGGTGGGTAGAGGGTTCTTGGGATGGTACGGCATCACTGTAGCATCCTGATATCCTCTATGCTATTCGGCCGCTGTTCCCATAGGGCAGAACCAGAATCAAGGAAAATTCGGTACGAATGCATGTCCCCGAAGAACAGACCATCTTAGGATGCGGTTCGGATCGTGGACTTTTGGCACTCGGGTGTTGCTGGAGGTAGGATTAGAAATATTGAAAGTTTCTATATGGAGAACTGGGGAATCTTTTCCCGGCAGAAGACGTTTTCAATGAAGATCCTCCTGCGGCTCTCGAAACGCTCGGGTAGGGAAATATTTTAGCTATCATGCTTTGTTTGGGAGTTCTTGTACTACCTCGATACCCATGTATGTATCTCAATGCATTGACATGACTACCTCCTACAGACTGCGTAACCGAGTCAAGTCTTTAGGAGGTGTATCTATTACGCTTAACAGAGTTTTTCTCAGCCTCAGGCCTGAGGGCGCCTATGTAAGAGAATGTTCACAATTGGCTTCCTGTTTAACATGAGCCTCGTTTCTGGTAACTCCTACGCGCTATAGATAACATTATACTTGTACTTGGGTACGCGGCGTAGTCAGCCTATAAGTTTATATGTCATGGGAATGAACTTGATCGGTCCTATTGTTTATTCACGTATTGAACTTCAGATCCCTTGAATCCATCACCGGTCCCGAGAGCTGAATTCAAGTGATATATCAGAGTTGTTGTGGATATAATTAGGTAGTGATCATTTCGATATGCGGCCAGCTAACTTATTAACAGCTCTGGGATGAATTGCGCTCTGGTATTAAACGTTACTAAACATTAACAAAAGTACGTTACACGGCTTCCTCACTGTCGTAACTAAGGTCGCGTATCCTAGTTGATTCCGGGGTTGATGTAGTGCTCTGAAGTAAGCACATGTGCATGTAAAAAGAAGACTCTACCTGTTAAGTCAGATAGAAATCAGCTCGGTTCCGGGAGGGGAACGCGCCGCAGATCTTTTAATGTCGATTTGCCCAATCAACAACCTCCCCTCATCGAACAAATGCAATCCTTCTCTTTACAAACTGTATTGTAAGCACGAGTTTCAGGCCTAGAAGGAACGCCAATGCCGTTAAGGGGGCGTAGTTCAATTCTAGCGAGCGGATCTCCCCTATTCTGGTTCTTACGGAGGATTCTACATCTTGGGTTTCACTGGGTATGAATATTTAGGACACCAATAAAAAATAAGAAACTAAACTTACAACAGTTATCATAGCATCTTGCAATTCGTCGACTTGTGTTGTATCAATTTAATAAACCTATAGTTACCACTGATCTGTTTACCTATTTTTGCAAGATAGGGGTTAAACAGGCCTCCTAATAACTTCACTCTCTAAAGTCGTGGGCACGATTCGGTAGAACTCACCTTAACGCGCTCTAGGTGCATATGGCTTATTTTTATACACTGGTCCCATTGGCCACGGCCGTCTCACCTTGTTGAAACCAGAAAGAGTCAACATTTTGCTAAGCTCGCCAAAGGGATATTCGATAACTTCCTGGAAAATTACCCCTTGACAAAGTTGGGTACGGCGCAGTCATCTCAGCCTAAGTGATACCTTGTATTACCGAACTGCTACTGACGATGCGATAGTAAACCTATCCAACTATACGAAACTCGACACTCATTAGCGAATAACGTAGACTCTTGCCCATACTGTCTGCGGAAAGCATCCGATCGGCTATATCGTTGCGCTATCGGTCACCTCGTAGCGTCTTGGTTATAAGAGACGTTGCTATATAGTCGAGGAAGCGCTACGTGCATTTCCCTATGCGGTGGTAGACTAGCTAGATTTTGATAGGTTTTCATGGACGAATCTATCGGAAAGCTGCATGAGTTTGCACATTATACTGCTCGGATCTGCCACCTTCACTATCACTTGACCTGCGACTTGAATCGCATAGAGCTCTTCTCGCTCGGCTTACATGCTTAAGCCACTCCCGGATACTCTTCGATATAATGCGACTTGATTTTCGGGGTCGTTTGACAAGATTTCTACCTAAATTCCTGAACAGGTATGATGGCTCGAAGTGACTTTCCGTCTCTTGGGAGGTTCTGCGAATGCAACTGGTTCACCGCTCTGCCTTCACTAACGGCTCAACTTAGATTACTGCGAATGAAATGACGTCTGTGAGAGGTTTAACCAACAGAGCTTGATGGATATCCTGCGAGAAAAACCAGAGAGCCAACATGTTTCTCAGCGGATAGCATGTGTAATGGTGAAGAGACATTGGTGGCTGCTCTAGCCATCTCCAATATTCTTCTAGTGCTTTGCATTCAGACCGATATTTCATGGATGCAGGTGAGCTCGCAGAATCGAGTATGCATTGCGTTAGGTATCAAGAGGCAGAGAGGACCTTCACAACTAGCGGTGGCCATTGGGCATCAACTCATGTTATGAGCTCAAGTATAGTCGCCTTTCAATAACCTCAATGTCTACAGTATGCGACTTGATTGCTGACAATTAACACTAGTCCGCTACCGAGGCCCCTTGGGGTACTTTAAAACAGCCAACACGATATCATCTTTATTGAAAGAAGCCTAGATTCTTCATAAGGGTCTTCTAGCACTTCGAAATGGGGCATTCGATTCATCACAAGCTCGCATTGTGTTAATTGGTGCTATTGACTGCTGAGGTCCACCTGGAAAGTTGTAAGTCGTGTTGGTGCCGTGAGGACGCAAGCAAGAAGTGGCAAGGCAACTCGATTGAGTGACGAGGAATTGTAAGCTTATTTGAAACTGGACCGCTGGTATAACGAGAAACTCTTTGTCTCAGGTGCCTCGACGATCTGCGAACGTATCATAGTATCTTGCTACTAGTCTCGAGTTGACTACATGACCTCTGACTAGATTTTAACAGCTTTACTTTAATGTCGTCGATAGATGTATAAGTCCCCGGAAAGGTCACCTACCTACTGCCTAGAGCGATTAATAGCCCTGAATGAGATCTACCTGGGAAAACTACTTAAGGTATAAGGTTATATTTCGAACTGCATACATACGGTTACGAAGCACACACGAGTCAATAGACAGTGATAGCATTGCTATAATTTCTAAAATAAGAAGATGGATAAGAGCTCTGAAGAATCTTGTAGAGGGTATCCTGTCAGAATGAGCTTCAGTCGTTGTCTATATTAAGCAAGCGGGTGCTCACGGAGCGTATGCGTCTAATTATGAACTATTAAGACCTACTCTACTGATGTCTTCGGTACATTGCGGAGGCGACCCAAGATGCCCAGAAGCTGAAAATGTCAACCCCTTTTTTTTTCCAAGTCTATATTTTCCGAGTACATGATGAGTGTCAGAACTTAGCGAGTTAAATTCCTACATGTCGACTCTGCAGGTATTAAAAAAAATAGATCGCTTACGGACCCCCCGGGAGTGCATCATGGCTTAAGTCTTCAATTGTTGGCCTTTGAATAATTCAATATTTATATATAATCTATCAATGCTGAACTACAGTTTAGATACTATGTCAATATACATTGACGTTGAGCTTCATTCCATATCCCTAGATTATTAGACCAATCTACCTATCTACTGAACCCCCTATGGAATAACAACAATATAGCTGTAATAAGGAGTTTGATTCGAATAGCTGAGGAGTCATGTGTAACAAGATATTCAGGCACTTAGGCCTATGCATACAAGACTCAGCCCAACGCTCCCCAGACCCGTCACCCGCGGATATAATAAGCTTCGCAGGATCGACAATCTTAATTGCGAGGTATAAATCTCTTCCCCGAGCTGGAAATGGATCACTGCTTGGCTACGACGTCATTGAACAACAGTCCATTTGACGAATAGCGCTCCTTACCGCAGATGGCGCTGACCTGGATTTCATGCCAATACGCATCTATACGCACCTATACGATAACTCATAAGTATCCAATCGCAGTTCGCGGATCCGAGTCGTGTAACGATAGCACCAGGCACATCTATGGCAGATATACCCTTCCAGAAGCGGCCCGTCAATCTTAGAGGCGTAGAAAAGACGCCAGAACTAGGAAGAATTTCGCACATGTGCTGCGCCGTCGGTACTTTAAACTCTGTCAGGCACCAAAATGTCACGGAGAGCACGTCGAAGGGTTACGTCGTAGGATCAATAGGATTACAGCGCAAGAGGCGTAATTTGATCCTTGCATATGTAGTAATGTACAAACCTAGCGGCATCTCCGGTTTTTATAATGCTGAGTAGTACGATGCTTGACTGCTGTATACTGTTATATGAAAGACATGGTCAAACACTGCCTAAAATGGGTATTCTAGTAGCATAACAAGTGCCAATACGGGCATAAGAAGCAAGCCAATGGCGTTGCATTACCAAAACAATATTAATATGCACCCAAACACGCATGTAGGCAAACAGACATACAACACCCTACGGTTCCTCAAGCGGCAGGTGTATGGTTTTAGCTGGATCCTAAACTGCGACTCCGGTAACGAACATATTACATAGTATATATACATAGTATGTAGGTATGTTGTTGCGATGCCAATGTAACGAACGTGGGGGGAGGATGGGGAGAGGACTGGGGGAGGAAAAGAATACAGACATG